CTCTCTCTCTCTCTCTCTCTCTCTCGTGTTCTGTTCTTTTTGTAAATTATGTATGTATATTTTTCCCGGGACGATCTCGTGATAAATATGCCCAAAGTTTGCGGAGCGGAGGGTCTCCATGGCACAAATCGATTAAAGTTAACTGTGTTACCCTTCTCCAAGAATTCGACGCATAATCCTAACGGGACCAAGAGCACTTTCGCCTCGGAAAGCACAATTTTGAACATTTTGGGACTTCATGAACCATTATGCTTGAATTCCATGGCTTGTCTGTCTCTTTTTTTCTGGGTCGTAAGGATGAACCCATGGTTCGCCCCCAATGACAGTGTTTTTAAGAATGCTTGAACGGAAATCGATATTAGGAGGATGCATGAAATGGAAGCTGGGGTGCGTAGGGGGTATACAGAGAAAAACTGTTTGAATTTTTCGCCGACGCGAGGCAGAGATTTGTTATTCGTTATCGTACCAGTGTTGACAGAGATGGTGATTATGTGTGAAAAAATACAGGTAGTGTTTTATAGCAGTCATCCAAGATTTCATTTGGTTTAGGGTTTCTGTTCGTGGCGTGATTGCTTTGGAAATCGTGATCTTGGAGGCAAGAGTTGTCAGCCTTAGTACATTAAACATAGCCTAAAATTGTCGACTCACTGTCAATCGATTGAAAACCTACCCACCTATCCTCTTGTTGTTTGTCAGTTACTGGTACGTAAAGCCATTTAATTGGCTAGCATAGTCGTAGATCTATTGACATTTCTCAACATAAGTCTGCATTGTCCGTGGTCAGTGTTCGCGTCCTGCCTTGAACTGATATCATCTGAAAGCTCTGTCTCGCGTTCTCCGTTTCCCTGAGCCTATATTTTTCTTCTGGTGTCAGGTCTGGATCAGACATTGACGACCGCTGTACCGGTTGTATTCTTCCCCTTTGTCTGTCTTCTTGATCAGCTCGTTTTTTTCCTCTTTGACGTAATTGTTGCAAAGTTATTCAGGCCATCTGAGTATGTTGTTCTTTGTTTTCCTCTGCTCTTCTCTCCTTCTATCTTTCTACACAGCAGCCGTGTTTCTGACGGGCTTTATTATTAACCAAAATTTAGCCATTGCGTTACCAGGGTTACAGGAATAGCATAATGATATACGCACAGAATAAAGACAACCATTCATTCATAAAAAGTACGCACATGATGCAGCTCTGCGGTGAACAGCACGTAACTATTGGCTGCTACCAGCACCAACACCAGCAGGGCCAGGCCCACGTGACCACAGCGTGTGTTCTCCACGGGGCAGCAGCGCTGGAAAGGGCGGGAACAAGTGTACCTGGGAAGCATAATATGAGCATGAAGAGTTCAAGGCAAGGAAATAAGGGAATTATTGCGTCTTGACAGACGATGTTAAAGCTGTATACTTATAACACCTTTAGGGGGGGGGGGGAGCTTTCATTGTCTTGAGGTTAAGGTATTTGCCTCTTATTAAATAGGCCCAAGGCTAGAATCCGGATAGCGACGGAAAATGTTCTTCTGTAAAATTATCTTCTTTCACATCCTTTTCCTGCTCTCTAACAATGATTTGTCGTCTGCTTTCGATTCCACTTTCTGCCCCCTATCCCCCACCCCTCACCTCCTTTGCCCCCCTCCTCTGGGCTCCTGACTCTTTCTGCAGCCTTTTTACTGCTACTCCTTGGCTCCTTCTTACTGCTGTCTTTCAGCCACACCCCTGATCTTATGTTGGTAAGATCCGCACCTAGCCTTCTCGGATAAAGGCGAAAAATCTCGGAGGTGCCGTGTGCAATTTGCGCTCGTTAAAGATCCCTTGGTGGTCCAAAATCGATAAGAGTAGGCTTCGACCGCCACCCGAGGAAAATTCAAAATTTCCTACCAACTGAAAAATATTTAATGTCTCCCGCACGCTCATTTGACCTTATGCATTTGCGAGCGCCATAAAACACTTTCCAAAACAAAACAAAAATTAATTTTAAAACAAAATCTTTGCCTGGGCGGCAGACAGAGAGGAAGTAGATTGTCCATGTACTACTTCCCTCCCTTCAGATTTGGACTTCCTTGATATACTCCAAAGGACAAAGGAGAGTTATAGGAAATATTATATTATGTTTGGAATCAATGAAGTTGGAAGGTTTTGTCTTTCTATTTCACTGGTGTAATAGAGACATTTTTTAAATATTAAAGTTAAAGGTAATCTTTTGAATTTCGTATTTTGCCCAAGTGGCAGCCTAACGAAGAACTCTTCTACTATTTTCAACCACCAAGAGAGCTTTGACGTGTGCAACGTGCATATGGGTTTTCTGAGATGTTTCATCCTTATCTGAGAAGATTATGTACTCGATCTTAACTACCGTCAGGACTAAGCAGCCGACCTTCTAAATTATCTATATATTGCTGTTAGGGGTGTAAAATATCTTTAATTACATTTTAACCACCCTTTTATATTTCGTTTGCCTCTTTATGGACTATCTTCAGAAGTTTGAACCTTCTGCAAAACGACATCCCGTAATAGGTCTAGTCCTAGTTAAATTTGCACAACTGGTATCTTATCTTCACAGCGGTGTTCCGAAATTTACAAAATACCTTTTACAATAATCCAAAACGTGTTTATCCGTTTACTTTGTAAATAACACTCATGGCTGAATGCGTACTATTGTATCGGCCAATTCTTAGGAACAAGTTACTGAAATAGAAAAGCTGTGATGTGTGGGTTTCAAGGCGTTCATGCTGATCATACGTGTGTCTGCTGGGGTAAAAATTAGAAAGCGCTTAGAGCTTGCTGTTGAGCGAGGATGTGCGTTATACAAATACTGCTTATTTGTTTATTTTATTTCTTGTGATTTGCGGCAGCGATTTCAGCGCATCCCCCTTTATATATTGGTTTTTAATGGCGCTATCATTGTGTTGCGTGCCCTGTGCCGATGATAATTGGGAATATCCCTCTCCCTTTCCATAGTTCCATTTTCGTTTTACTTGGAAATCAAATACATACAATCAAGAGTGACGACATGATTGCCTGAGACTGGGATAGTGTGGCTGTTATCACCAAACCGATAGAATTGTTTCATTGGTGTGAATCGTGCTGGTCCTGCAAACTATGTTTTCATATGACTAGGGTATGCACTTACGCTTTGAAAAAAAAACGAATGATGTTGACGCAGGCATTTTGTTCTTGCACCGAATGACATGCGCAGAATCTATCGCTCTCACTTGGAAAGAGGCTGTCTCGCACTTTGGTGTTGTCGTCTTTTTGTACTTTCTCCGTGCTGCTTTGTGTTTTGGTACTTTTACTGGATGGATAGAGTTGAGGTCATTTCGAAGGTGGGACATTTTTGCTTTCCATTTAGACGCCGAGTCAGCTTTAAAAGAAAATTCTTTACTTCTACAGTAAGCGCCCGACTCCGAAAACAAACCCGCTGTTAATTAGAACTGGATACTGCAGCCATCAAATCGGAAACCTTCAGGCCTCAAGACTAGTGCGATGTGTGTGTGGGGAGTGTCTAGGTAGCCTCTTCACTCTGTCCGTCGACTGAGTTATTTAGTTTCAATGCGTACTCACTTTTTGCGAACAGTAATACTACCACATCGTATTCGAGGCCCAAGGTTTAGACCAGGAATTTCCCAGGAGATTCCGACCCCCTCCTCCCCCCCCCCTTTTTTTTTTTTTACTCAGAGCGAGGGTCACGTCTCCAATAACTGTATCGAACACGCTGGAGAGAGGAATTCCATAACCCATAAATGCGCGGTGATAGCAATTGATAGTACCTCGACTGCATCGCTTTTATCGATATAGTTTTGGTAGCGGTGTCCTCCTCGACTGGGGCTGCGGGGAAAGAATAATAATACGAGTGTGCTATATTTTGTTATGAGAATGGTTCGGTTGGTTTGTGGGGGTTTTAAGTATTCTTTAAAAACAGTCGTAATTCTTTTCTTTTCTCTTCTTTAATGTTAGTCTGTTTCCCTCCTAGGCGCGAACAGGTCGTCTTAATGTCAAAGCACTTTGCCCAGTGTTATGGGAAAGAAGAAAGAAAGAAAATGGAAGACCGGACGTCAAGATATTTTGCTTCCTTAGAATTACAATGTTCTATCATGACCTTTTTCGCCGTTTGGAAGGTCAGAAACCAAATTTTTATCTTCTCTATCAAAATTGTAACATTATTCCGAGTCGTTATCAAGATATTCGAAGAACTGCATTCGAAAAAGCTTGACATGTTGTGAATTTTGACGACAAATATCTTAAAACAAGGTACTGTGCAGATAAAACTTTGTAATTCTAGGGGAACGAAATATCACGAAGTGTACACCTGGGGCGGCGAGTACGATACCGATAACGTAACGGCCGCATTTTGCGAAAGGGGTAGGG